GGAAGAGAAGTATGAAAGTTATTACTGGATGATGATGATGATGATGAAAATACTTGATATTGTCCTGCATTTTACATCAGTTATTCTTTACATTATGTACATTTAATTCTATATTTTTTAGAAGGGAACTATAAAACATGAAGTGTCCAGTATACTGGACATTTGTAATAGGAAGCATGAAATCTGCAAGGTTTCGAGGGTTATTAATAGAGATGCACCGATACTAAATTTCTCAGCAGATACCGATTATTCAGAGTGATATCGACCAATACCGATAGTTCTGACTTTTATGCCTTCTTATAAATTAATAATAATTAATTCCATAATTCTGAAAAGTACCGTATTTTCCGCACTATAAGGCGCACCTAATTATCAAATTATCTCAATAGCCGACAGTGCGCCTTATAATCCGGTGCGCCTTATATATGGAACAATATTGAGCCACAACAGGTCTCGCAACTACGATAAGCAGCCGCCGACTTCCTTTTCTTCCACGTGTGGCAGGGAGAAGGTGCATCTGAGGATTTGTTGCATCAACTACGGCACCTAGTTTGAAGGGAGGCCGGCCCCCAGGACAAGGAACTAAACAAGATTAACCCCTAAGGGTAATTCGAGCACCCACAGGTTCGTAAACTCGAAAAGGCGGAGACATGCGTTACATTAACGGATATTTATTCCAACAAAACACATTAATTATTATAAACCCACAACCGAACAAACAGCTAAGATTCTACCTCAAAAGAGTCATTTAAGCAAATAGGAAAACAAGCAGTGCTTACCTGTTGAGCCAGCGGTTTCACGTACACGCACACCAAAGCTACCGGTATCCCAGTCACTAACCAGGAAGTCCTTTCACTGACTGAACGACGTACCGTCAGTCGAAAACCACTTCCTGAAATGCTACTCAGGACACGCCCCCTCAAGATGACTCACGGGAAACCCATTTCACCACACACTCGCGTGGTGCATGCTGGATATATACCGGTATATATATTTAATTTCCATTTGTTTTTTATGTAAAGACCCCAAAATGGCTCTTATTAAGAGACACGCGATATGACGCGGAGTTTAAACTCAAGGCGATCAGTCCGCGCAGAAGAACACGGGAATAGAGCAGCTGCAAGAGAATTTAACATTAACGAATCAATGGTGCGAAAGTGGAGGAAGCAACAAGATGACCTACGCGAAGTAAAGAAACTACCACAGAGTTTCCGAGGGATAAAGCGAGATGGCTACATTTGGAGGACAAACCTCGAACAGTGGGTTGTTGAACAGAGAGCAGCAGGTATAAGTGTCAGTACAATCACTATTCGAATTAATGCAACCGCCAGCAGCGTAACTTGGCATTAATGACTTTAAGGTGGGTTCTTCTTGGTGCTTTCGGTTTATGAAAAACGTAATCTCTCCATCCACTTCGAAGAGACAGAGCCGGGCATGTTGGATCCCGTATTTGCCCAACTGTTTAATTCGGACACCGAAGAAGAAGAATTCCAGGGATTCGTGGATGAGGAATAACTTAGTAAAGTGAGCTTTACGTGTTTATTTTGTGTGTTGTGTGATTTTAACGTTTGAGCAACGTTGAGTTATTGATATATTGTTATCGCTTTGCACTATTTCGAGTGTTACTAGATTGTGATTATTATTATTATTGAATCGAGCAAAAGTCCCCCCCACTATGTGGGGTATATTAACATTGCACTACATGTTTTACCTTAAACTACGCTGGGTTGTAATCTATTAATAAAGTTGAACTGACCTATGTGACTGTTTTGTTGACATTCCCTTTAGCGCAGCTCATCTAATTGATGCATAACGTAACCCCCAGCCTCTACTGTAGCGTCTATTGTATGCGCCTTATAATCCGGTGCGCCTAATATATGGACAAAGTTTTAAAATAGGTCATTCAATGAATGAAAGTGCGCCTTATAGTGCGGAAAATACGGTACAAATAGCATACGGTTCAGCAAGAGCTTATTGAACGTTATTAATTCATATTAACATTGACTAAATTCTGAAAAACCTCCTGTTAGTCTCACATTCACTCTCCACAAACAAAAGCATTTCTACTTCATCATTGAACTGCTAATATATATCAACTTTTTTATGTTAACATTAACTGCATATGAAACATACTCCTCTACTAATATATTTTTATGTGATATATATATATATATATATATATATATATATATATATATATATATATATATATATATATATATATATATATAAAAAATATATATATATTTTATAATATGCACACACACACACACTTTTTTGTAAACTCCTCTTAATTAAAATTTTTCAACCCTGTACTGGCGCTTTAATTCATTTCGAGCAGTGTGGGGAAAAAAAACCCTTTTGTCTCGACGCCGAAACTCCCGCTTCACTGCTGTTCAGTTTTCCACACAAGACATCATATTTACACATAGCCCGAAATACATGTTTTCCCGCCCCCTTTTGATAGACGGGATATAATCGGTCCTGATCACCTGATGTTTTTAAACTATCAGCCGATACAGAATATTGGCCAATACACTGGTGCATCTCTAGTTATTATTGTTGTTATATTTGCAATATTTATTGTATTTACTGTATATACTGTACAGTATTTACTGTACAGTCAAAAAGATGGCACCGTGGTACAGCAGGTAGCATTACTGTCTTACAGCTCCAGGGTCCTTGGTTTGATCCTGAGCACAGGTTACTGTCTATGTGTTACATGTTCTCCGTATGTCCACATGGGGATCCTCAGGGTTTTCCGGTTTTCTACCACCTCTGAAAAATGTGCCAGTAAGTGGATCAGCTAAGAGATAAATCGCCCCTAGGTATGAATGAGTGTGTGAAAGTGTGTGTGCACATGTACATGGTGCCCTGTGATGGACTGATGTCCCATCCAGAATGAATTCCTACTTCACACCCAACGTAGGCTCTAGATTAACCAACTGAATGAGTGACTGAGTCCGTCGTGGCCTCAATGTCCATGCTGCAATCAATCTACCACAACGATTTGCTTAAGTAATAATGCTACTCACGTCTCTTATTACGCCTCCCTTATCAACCGAGGCAGGGTGAGCTTAGAAGCTTTTTTGCCACTATACGCTCTAACCGGCCCCTCACTCATTGATCCGCTGTGAATCTTTTTCTGTCATTCCTTTAATGATAAAATTAGTGCAGTCTACTAACGTTTGTTCCCTCATTTCCTGTTTACTCTGATGCTCTGAGTGGCCCTTGAATCACTTTGCACCCACTGATTCAGACTCATTACGCAATCTAATTCCTCCGCCAGCCAGCTTCATTTTGACCCAACCTCCGTCATTAAGGCCTGCTAATCTATTATTAGATCTCATCAGTAAGTTCCTTAAATCTGGTTCTGTACCTCTGCCCCTAAAGTTGTTGTGGTGACAGCAATTCCAAAGGCTTTTGAACACTCAAAGTATAAACGTATTTCTAACCTCCATTTTGAGAAAATAAAACGAGAGCGAGAGAACAAGAGCGAGAAAGAAAGAGTGCGAGAGAGCTGGCTACCCAACTACAGAATTACCTTGCCTCTAACAACCTCTTTGAGCCTTTCCAATCTGATTTCCAGCTCCTGTATAGCATTGAGACAGCTTCTGTCACTAATGATCTGCTCTCGACTGATTCTGGTGCCCTCAGTATCCTCATTCTTTTAAACATTAGTATTGCCTTTTGACACGGCTAAATCATGAAAAACTTTTTTTTCCAAAACAATTTCTCTTTGACTCCTAAGGGCTCAAAATGGTGAAAGACTAGACTATATATAACTTATTTCTTTTCACGCTTCAGAGAAATTGCCAGAGATTATTTATCCCCATGAGGAAACAGTTCGTTATATCTATCGGACTCTGATTATTCAGCTTAATAAGCAGTCAGTAAGTATTTTTTTTATTTTTTTTTAAGAAGGGAATTTCCCATTGTTTCACTTATAAACTTTTTGCAATGCTTCCCTTGGCATTAAGTAACCAATATAGTTAATCTAGAAGAGATTCTTATGAGATTTTGTTATTAAACATGATCAATTATCACATACTTCCACAAGAGGACTTTTGACTAACAGTTACTAGTCACGTTGGCTTGCCTCTCTTTTCAAATACTTTTTGAACACATGAGGCTATGAACTTTTTACGCTCCAGTGATTTATATCTTGATCCAAAAAGCTCATTGTGTCTCAATGTTCAAAAGTTAGATTTTTCTTTGGTGTACAGACGTGTACACATGGAAGAGCAGAGAGCCAATCGGACTGCAACTTTAAAGATTCTGAAGCCGCTGGCCAGTTAAGCGCACAAAGGCTGTCAGGCACTTTGTAGGCCATGGACAGTGTCTGAGGCTCAGACAGCCCGGAGGATTTCTATCGACAGAACATCCCGGCTAGCTACAGAAAACATGAAAAGAAAAAATATCTAAAAGATTGTGGCTTGTCTCAACATCTGAACAGGAAGGTCTTTGCTACTGTACATATAGCTTTTTCTAACACCCGGACTACTTTTTGTACCTTTGTAAGTTTTGTAGGAGTGGGGGAGAGAATGTGCTGATGAATGGATTTAATGTCTTTTGAAATTCACAAAAATGTTAAACAGAAAAGTTGTAACTTGTGTACGTTGATTGGACAGTGTCTACTTGTCTATCTACTTTTAGTTTCTCCTCGAAAGGCATGAAAAATATCCAATGAAATAAGATGAAACATATTAGCACCATCCGTCCATTTTCTGTATCACTTATCCTACGCAGGGTCACAGGGAGTCTGGAGCCTATCCCAGGGGCACAAGGCAGGGAACACCCTGAATGGGGTGCCAACCCATCACAGGGCACAATCATGCACAAACGCTCACACATTATGGATGATTTAGAGATGCCAATGAGCCTTCAACACATAGTCTTCCAAGTCTTTGGATCGGAGGAGGAAACTGGGAACATGCGGGAATCGAACCCGCAACCCCGGAGGTACGAGGTAAACATGCAAACCACTAAACCATCAGGCCCAACGGTCATAACGGTTCCGGCGCTGGCCTAGGAATATATCAGCTCCAGTCTTGCTTCTTCTCATTTCTGTGTATTCTTCTCCTATTTGTTGATCTTGTTGTTGATCTTGGTTCCACAATAATCCACTGCTTTACTGGTACTGGAAAGCTGAGATTCAACAAACCGAGATTTTATTAAATTTTTTTTCTTGTTGTAAAAATAGAGGCACTTAATGCCAATCAATTTTTGGAAGTAAAATAATGCCATTCAATGTTTCTCAGCCTTGAAGAGGGCCACTTGCTCTCCACAGAAAGCTGCTCTATTGATTAATAGCCGTGCTTTAGGCTGTAATGCAGTGGTGTGGTTTTGTAGCGGGTCCACTGCTCACCGTAGCTATTCCCTCAGTCTCTTGAGAACAAGGTGTGCGCCGGCTCTTTGTGTGGTGTCAGACAGAGGCTAATCTATTCATCACACACCGGCCGGTGGCCGCTTCAGCTCCACGCTTATCGGATCACTTCAGGCCCCTCGCTGGGGGAATGGGAACTCGCTGTTCACACCTTCTTTTATAAAAGCGCACCAGGGATATCTACATCAGCAGTTTCAGCAAACGGCAATCTCTCCCGGCACCACTCTACCCCCAGAGCAGGACCAATTGTGGAAAGCACAACTGCAATGAGAGGAGTGTGTGTGTGGTGTGTGTAGACGGGTGGAGGAAAGGATTTGTGCCTTCCCAGTATACTTGTATCCATATATTTGATTTAGCATACATGAATGTACCTGACTAGCTCAGCAAGTGTGCTGAGTGTGCTGTGCACTGAAGCGTCGATGCATCACGTGACTCTAGATGATGGTTTGGGGCACCTGATATTGTATTAATATTATCTGATCCCTGACAATAGCTCTGCAGACTTGCAGGTGGGATGGTGAGTGTCAGATAATTGAAAAGATGCTGCATTGTTATATTTTATCACTTTCTGGTACCTGGCACTTTTCTCGGATTTTTGAAAGGGGTTTGAGATCACACAGCGTTGAATACGTTTGAGGAGATGCAGAAACAGAGTTAATATTTCTAGAGCTAAATCCTGGCTGTCGCGCTTTAAAACAGTCAAGGACAGCATTAGACTCAAAGTGGTCACAATTTACAGGCGAGATACATTTTAAGGACCTCTTAATTTGCTATGCTTATAAGGATGAGATACTTTAACCTATTTTATGTGCATCATGCATAACAGTCAAGGACCCTGGCCATCAAATTTCAGCAGTGTTTCTATGGCAACATGGCCATTACTCAGGGATTACTCATGGAGAGTGAAGGTGTAGAGGATTCTCAAAATGGATAGTCACAAGTACCTAAAGACAGTATCCAACCACCACAGGATATGGTGCTTCTATATAGACTGTTTTCCTCTCCTTCATTTTTCATTTATGTGCTAAACCTCACGATTTTGGTGCTTGATGGAAGTTGCGTAGCTCACCATAATTTACATTTCCGCATTTACTGATTGGACTAAAGATGCAGCAATAGAACACACTCGTTTTTTTCCTAATGATGACATTAGGGTATGTTCAGAATATAAAAGTGTTGTAAGCCGTTGATTGGTGACGATTTCGGATTCTCAAGCCATGAGATCAAAGAGATCCCCAAGACAGGACTAGGTTGTTTCTAGAGAAGGGTACCAAAGATTTGGCCAGCTTTGAAGGTCCCAAAGAATACAGTTGTTTCTATTATTCTTAGCTGATGGTCAGAGCCTTACAGACTGCCTAGGGCTGGCCAACCAGCCAAGCTGCGTATTTGGTAGAAATCCTTTAACTCATTGGTTATTTTCATCATCCTGGCTATTCCAGGAGAACACTAGAAGCAACACAATTTCAGTGGCACTGCACCGATCAGGTCTTTATGGTAGAGTGACAAGATGGAAGTCATTCCTCATTAAAATTGTCATGAGAGCTCACTTGGATTTTGCCAAAGGCCATCTAAATGACTCTCAGGCCGGTTGAAACCTTATCTATTCATTCATTCTCCATGGTGAAGCATGGTGGTAATAGCATCATGCTGTGGGAATGTTTTTCAGAAGCAGGTAGGCTTGTTTGGATTAAGAGATGGATAAACACATTAAAATGGAAAGTGCTCAGGAGCTCAGTTTGCAGTGAAGGCTCAGCTTCCATGATGACAATGGCCTGAAATCCATATTCAAAACAAAGCAAGACAGATTTTTATACCAGTGTATGAATGTAGTTACAACTTTTCTTTTTTTTTTATTCTTTTTTTTTTTTATAAATACATTGACGGGGTTTCGGAATCTACTGTATGCCGAGTATGCATTGTTCCTCTTTGAACACACCATACTCGTACCTATGCAAGAAATGTTTACAGTGCATCAGATAATGATAACAGCTCTATTGATTGTATTGCCAGAAAATCTGGGACCATAGTGCCTGTTCTCTTCACTCAGAATATGAGCTCTCCATGACATGCTAAAAATCTATCTTTTTCAGCAGGTCTCAAAGGGAGAAATGTTGCTGGACTTACAGTGCCAATCATTTTGAGAGTCAATTCTGCAATTGCTCATACAAAAAACATGAGTTAGGAATTTTCAGGCACATAGGTCCCCCCCAAAAAATGGTGCTTTATAACTAGAAGTGTGTGTGTGTGTGTGCTTGTGTTTGTGTGTGTCTTCTAGCTGGGAGGTGCTGCGATTTCTCTTGTCCAACCTGCGCTGGTGGATGGAGGAGTATCGTTTTGACGGCTTTAGGTTCGATGGGATTACCTCCATGCTCTATCACCATCATGGTGTCAGTAAGTCACTAAAAAAAAAAAAAGGACTTTAATGCATACAGAATAATATTGTGTATCTGTGCCAATCATCCAAAAAAAAAAGAAACTGTTTTATAAACTACATTGAAATGGCTAGAGATGAGGAACAATCTCTCAAGCAGAGAATTGAATAGCGGAGTGATGAACCAAAAGCTGGGTTATTTTTCCTTTATCGTAGTGCTTTTCCTCCAAATCTTTAGGAAGTAAATGAAATAGTCAAAGTTGATTTACAAACAAGAAAAAAAATGAAAGAAGATACAAGTGAAATTGGTGTTATGTGAAATAAAATCTGTAAATGAGAACTATAAGTATAATCAGAATATGAGGTATACTAAACTAAATGTACTTGACACTTTATTTGTGTCTCATTTTTAAATTCTTTTATACTCAGGTTCCGGATTTTCAGGCTCGTATTCAGAGTATTTTGGGCTCCAAGTTGACGAGGACTCACTAGTCTACCTCATGCTAGCCAACCATATTCTGCACACCCTGTATGAGGACTGCATAACTGTAGCTGAGGTAAGGTGGATTTTTGTATGTAATCTGTAACTGAACGAATAAATATTACATAGAGGTGACTCATCTTACTTCAGAAAGTGTGACCATCTTAATATTTCAATTATATCTGAAAACAGAACATTATTACAGTGTATATACTGCATGCGGTAAACCTGTATTATTCTTATTTGCACAGTGTATACCTCAGTACCAAAGCTCGTGTAGTGCAGTGGTGGTGTTTCTTGCTTCTCATTACTCCTCACAGAAAACACTGCTATCATCCTAAATCCCAACAATGCTTCTCTTCTCGGTTCGCTAACCTTCTTGTCAGCAGAGCTATTTTTCTCTGTTTCTGCAAAGAAGGAATTAACCTACAGAGTCAAACTAGCAGAGCACATTAAATTAGTGCTCAGTGGCAGTGTCCTACTATCTAAGAAAACACTTGCTCATTTGACTCATTTCTACTTTTTTATATATATATATATATATATATATATATAGTCAACAATACCTTTGAGAAGCGCGGCTTAGTTTATGAACTCAACTAAATTAGGTTTCTCTCTTTTTTTTAAGGTGGTTCCTACTATTTCAGCATGTACATACAAAAATTTTAGTGCTTTAGAAAATACCAAGCTGATTTATGGGCTAGTTTGAAAAAAGATCAAGTAAAATAGCCTGTTTTTCATCATTTTCAACAACATAGTCTCCCATGTAAAAATACTACTACTACCAACAACAATAATGATAACACCTTTACGATGATGATTGTTGTTGTTGTACACTTTATTAGGAAGACTTGTACAAATACTCATTCATGCAGTTTTGCAATGCGTAACATCATGCAGATGTGGGCCAGCAGCTTCGGGTAATGTTCACATCAACTATCAGATTGGCAAATAAAATTTCGATCTCAGTGATTTTGAGCGTGGCATGACTGTTTGTGCCAGACAGGCTGGTTTGAGTATTTCTATAACTGCTGATCTCCTGGGATTTTCATGCACAACAGTCTAGAGTTTACTCAAAACGGTGCAATAAAGTAAAAACATCCAGTGAGCAGCAGTTCCGTGGACCGAAACACCCCATTGACGAGCCAGGTCTGCAGAGAATGGCCATACTGGTTTCCAGCTGACAGAAAGGCTACAGTAAAACAGACAACCACTTTTGCAGTTGTGGTGAGCAGAAAAGCATCTCAGAATTCACATGGAACCTTGAGGCGGATGGATTTAACAGCTGAAGACCATGTCGGGTTCCACTTCTTTCAGCCGAGAACCGAAAGTTCTGTGCAGTGGGCACAGGCTCACCGAAACTGGACAAACGATGTAGTATGGTATGATGAATCTGGATTTCTGCTGAGCCTCACAAGTGGTAGGGTCAGAATTTGACACCAACAAAATGAATCCATGGACTCAACAGTCCTGGCTGGTAGAGGTGGTGTAATGGTGTGGGGAATGGTTTTTTTTGGGCACACTCTGGGCCTGTTAATACCAATCAATCATCGCTTGAATGCCACAGCCTATTGAGTTTTGTTACTGACCATGTGAATCCCTTCATGGCCACAATTCACCCATCTTCTAATGGCTACGTCCAGCCTGATAATACACCATATCACAAAGCAAGTCATTGCAAACTTGTTCCATTAACATGACGGTGAGTTCAGTGTTCTTCAGTGGCCTTCCCAATCACTGGATCTGAATCCAGTAGAACACA